GGGGGGAGGAGGGGGGGGGGGGGGGGGGTAGTCCTGTATTGTGTGACGAGGCGGCCACAGGCGACGACGGTTTCCGCGTTTCTCGCCTCTGCACGCCTCGCCCGTTCGAAAATTTTCTCTCTATCGGTAGGATAAATTAGGAGATAGTTACAATAGCTCGTGTCTCTCATCGCGTTTACGACGGCATGTGCATGTTTGCAGCAAGTGGCACGTCGGTTTCTTCACGTTTTACGTACGTACGTGCTGCGTTCGCACGCCGCGCACGCGACCGCGTGTTCGTGCGCACAGACCAAGGATACAAAGGAACCTTTGTCTGTGTTTTTTTTTCTGTAGCTCGTCTTGCGCGTCTTGGCGTTGCCATGGAGATCTGGATGTTTCTTTTTAGTTTCGTGTGCTAAGACGGTAGGTTACACCACGAGGTCATTACTTACAGTTCCTAGGTTTATCAACTAAAAAGTGTTGGGGGCGGGGGGGGGGGTGTAGAAGATGAAGAGTGGGGGGGGTATTTTTCCCTGCCGGGGGTCACGTGGATGTGTGATGCACTGGTGATCGTGGTGGCTGAGGCAGATGCGGGGCGGGAATCCATTTGTTTTGCTGGTGCTTCTTTTCTGCCCTGTAGTGTTTCCCTGAAAGGATGGAGTGGGGGAAATAGATGAGGAGGGGAGGGGGAGTTGTTTGATGTTGCGCGCGCTATGCTAGAAGTGCTCGCATGCTTTGTACAGTCCAACCTGTGCTGCCGTGGCACACTTCAAACGCAGGTTTACATATACGTTGAATTCTCGATGCCGTGCTGCTGGTTAGTGCGCACCAGCAGCAGCGGCGACAAGGAGCGAAAGAGGTACAGAGCAGGAGACCCGGTGTTCGAGTGATAGGTGATTGGTCTGTCCGCTCGCTGGCCGACACGCTGTCGTTGGGCTGAAATAACTTTGGCTGCTGACCTTGCGTGTAAACGAGCGAAAACGAGACACAACAAAAAGTAAACTGTGATTTTTATTGAGTTGATTGACTGTTGGTTAGGGTTAGAAAGCGATGGCTGGAGACGTCGGTATGTTTTGTAATGAATTATTTGGGCGGGGCCTTTTCACGTCCCATTGGGTCCGTTCGTCTTTCCCGGTGTAGGAGTTGGTAACGTGTGCCGCCGCGCTGCTGTGTTCGATCTGGTAGCCGATCAGTATCGCCCATTTTCCATGTCCTGGCCGAGTTTGTACCCTTTTGTTGTCCCTCTTTCGTAAGGTAGTCGAACGCTCTGGCATATGATAGTCGTGCCAGGCGCACATACATGCGGGCGGAGCGCGCTGCGTTTTTGTGGCTAGTGTTCCAGGGAGGCGCAAGGAAGAAAGCGATTAAACTTGCCTGCCTGTGTATTCTATCCTCATGTATTTTGTTGCAGCAGGAAAATGTCATTAATGACGGTCACTCCTATTGGTTATGTTCGTGTTTTGGTAGTTCCAATCCGACTAGGATTGGTTCCAATCCGACTAGGATTGGTTCCAATCCGACTAGGATTGGTTTCTGCTGCGAAAGAAATGTGAAATCTGGCAGCGTTTTTTTTTTGCTGCTCGATTTCTCTCAGCTCGCGAAAGCTACGCGCACAAAATCGCGGCGGTGTCTTCGCGCGACCCAGCTTCGACTTGTCGAAGGGGTTCTCAATCGAAGCGACAAGGTGCCAAACGCGAGCATTGTGTCTTTTGCCCACCCCAGCATCCCATTGACGTATTTTTTAAGTGTCTCTGTGTTTCTCTCTTCTTTGCCACTGGTGAAGTGTGAAATTCAGTGGTACACATCATAAGAAAGTTTCATTTCGTTTGCTGCATACGGTTGATGCTTTTTTGAAGGCGGAGGAGCATGATCGATCGCATTCTCCCAATGATAAAAGAGGTCACACAAAAGTAATTCTTCTAGCCGAGTTTTCCTGAAACGGGCGCCGACTGCTGAAAGTATCGCCTTAGCTTGGTTCGACGTCTGTCTCTGCTGACCTTCGCCCCGAAAGTAATCTGCCCTACACATGGAGTAACATTGTGACAAAACAATCGAGAGCCTGGGACTGGCAAAGACGACGACACTCGTCGGATTGCCAACTTACACACCCCAGGGTTTACTTGTACGGTGTAGACTTACAGTTGTACAAGCAAGCGTTGATTAATAATCCAAACATGCCACGGCAAAGAAGAGACGTATGTATCCGGCAGGTGCATTGTCAACAAGCTCGACAAAAAGTACATCTACATACTTGGTACACTAAAAGACCAGGTGTCGTCTGCGGCCGAGACGACCAGCTGTCCGTGGCCGCGGCCGCCCTCGACGTCGACGAAGGCCGCCCGCCAGGCGTCGGCGTCGTGCGGGTGTACCACGCATGCCCTTGCGCAACGTGCCCCTCGCCCCCAAGTCTGAAAGTCCTGCAGGTCGGGATCCCCGCCGAGAGGGTGCGAGATGAACCGTCGGTGTCCTGGCCCCGGGGAGAGATGGGGGAACGGCAGGCGAAGCCGGAACCCGGTCCCGAAGACCGCCTGGCGCCTGTAGGTCTCTCCCTCCCGCAGGTCCAGCAGGAAGCGCCAGCCGTTGCTCCTGTGCGGCAGGGGAGCGGCCTGGTCGACCTTCTCGGCGTAGCTCCACCGGTACTCGGCCTCGAGCCGTGGTGTCCGAGACCAACTTTCTCTTGAAGTGACGAAGCATCGTCTTCTTCTTCTCACGGAGTAGGAAACAAGAATAGTCGGTGATTGTGTAGGAATCGTCAACCACGGCGAAAGGTCCTTGTTGTTGTTGTTGTTGTTCTTGTTGGTGGTGTTGTTGTTGTGACGGTCGGGACAACAAGAAGATCGCCTCCTTCCTTGTTACACGGAGATTTGGAGGTGGTTGGTGCTGTCTCACGAGGAGATGATATTGATATGTGGTATGCGTTTTGGGTCGGGCCACGAAGATAACCACCCATGTAGTATCAAGCCTGCGTCTTTGTACGATGGATCCCTTGTCTCTCTATCGTCGATATCTATAAATTCTGGGAACACAGACACGCCACATTTAATATTGTATTTTCTTACGAAAACACGACAAATTCACTCACAAAGTCGTGTCGGCGAACGGGGGTTCTATTGGTCGGGCGATCTGTCGGCCAGTACGGTGCTTCCGGGTACCACGGATTACTCCCACGTGTCTATTGACACGCGGGCATACAAAAACCAAATACCACAAAGAAAGGAGAACGTGGCCCATAGCATACAAAACATGGGTTTCAGAACAGTCGCCACCACTTTCGTTGGCCGCCCCTGCATAATAATAGCTATACCACACACCCCAAGACTGTGTAGACTCGTTCGTCTCTTCGCTTCGAAGGCACCCACCTCTTACTCTATTATAGATTCGGGTCAGGCGACAGGAGCAGCCGGCACGGCCGCCGCAGCCTCCTCCGCGATGCGGTCCCCGCCGCTATCGCTGCTGTTTCTTCTTCTGTCTCCCGCTTCCTCGTCTCCTCCTCCGTCGTCGTCGTCGAGCGCTTCGCCGATCAACTCGCCGCCGTTCCCGCTGCTGACCGGCCACTCCAACCCGAAAACGGCCGTTTCGTAACGCTCGGCAAACAGGCGGGCTCTGTCGGCCGCCGTGGACTTCAAGAATTCGACATCGCTGTCTTCGCGCTCCTCGATTTCGATCTGTGCGTGATAATGGCAGCGTTTCAATATGCGAAGAGAATGAAGTTTCAGGGTGGAACGGGGGGGTGTTTGAAACCAACCGGTTGCGCTGCTTGTCACGCGCGGTAGAAATGGATTGCGTTTCGGTACACAGTAGTCCGAACATCTTACTCTGGATAAAAATCGAAGCTTACCTCAGGCTCTGGAGAACCACTATCAGAACGGTTGCGCTCTTGTGTGCCGCCGCCACCGTCAGCACCACCGTCGCCATGATCACCACCCTTCTCTCTCTCCGGCGATCCGCCCCCTCTTCCACCCCCATCAATACCACCGCCACCGCCGCCGCTTTGGCCGGCAATCTCCGCGTATACAGAAGATAGCCGCCGGCAGGCGTCGGCCTCGAGCGCGGAGTTGCGGCTCCTTTGGGCCAGGGCGCGGCAGCGCCGGAGGTGGGCCAGTGCCCCAGGCAGGTCCTCATCCACCTCTCTTGTGTCGGCCAAATTGCGCTCTGCGAGGGCCTCCAAAATAGGGTCACCAGCCTGATGCATACGTGGTGTACGTAGTAGGTGTGCAGGGTGATGGATGGGTGGGCAGGCGGGAGGGTGTGTCTGATATGAGCTTGCTTTTCGTTGTTCGTAGAGTAGATCAGAAGGTGTGTGGGAGAGGAGAGCGCACCAGAGGAGTGTGCATGAATCACACATCGTGCTCGTTCCGCCCTTGATTACTCCTATCTACCGACGAAGCGAGTGCCGACGTTTAGGAGAGCAGTGCCACACACTCCAGATATCATAGCACGGCAGCATGCTGCTGTGTGCCTGCTGTAGGTAAGGCTAAAGGGGGGCTTTTCTACGGAAGGCTCAGTGCCCGCGTGGGAACGTGCGAGGCGGTGCGCACTCGGCCCTGACCAGGCGTGGTTCCAATACCACCGTTCGTTGCTTACCACATTGATTACAGAACGCGATTAAACCCGCAGATTCTCTATTCGTCGTCTGGAGCAAGAATCGCACAGTACGATCGTATCCATGTACGTACCTGGTACGGTTAAACATAGGTAAAGCCAGCTGTCGGCAGGGCGATGTACAGATATAGACAAAACGCACATTGTCCGCAATAATTCGCAACAAAACCTCTCTAGGCGCTTCGTCTACGCTCACTACCACAGAGAAGCGGGGCGCATTCTTGACTGGATTCCTGCGAACCTAACAGGCAGCCTGCAGTTTCGCGGCACTCGCCGGCCGCAGACAGTTTTTGTGACGAAACAACGAGCTAGCGTCCCTGTATTTTCATCTCCAAAGAAATTGCCTGGTTAGACTATCTTGGCCGTGCGGATTCAACACCCAACATTGGCGCCACAGGAAAATCCATCTGACCGGGAGCGGGGTGAGGTGATTGTGCTCATTTCTTGGTTGTCATTTATGTAGCCGTTCGACCGTTGACCACCCATCCATGCTTTTCGACTATTATACGAGTTCCGTTCCTAATTTATTTGTGATCAGGGACCGTGGGGTTGAAATTTTACTGTTCTTAGGTCGTGATCATCGGTGTGTGCGGATTCCACGCCCTCCCCCCGCCCCTCGTTGCGTGCCTTTTTCCTTCTCTTCTTCTCTCCTTCTCTCCAGCTCTCTCCCTCTCCCTCTCCCCCCCCCTCTCTCCCTCGCCCTCTCTCTTACGTTTTGAGCTTCTTTAAGCTGGAGTTCGAAGCGCTCCGCCGCTTGTACCGGCCTCCCTGTCATAAGGTCAACTGCCCCCGCGTGAGCATGAGACAACGCGCGCTGCCGTGCGGAATCCGTCGCCGCCTGCCCCCCGCCGCGCCCCCGTCACCCAGAGAACGCACATACATACACGGTTGGTTTTGGGTTGGACACCAATCAACCAATCCGTTGTAGGCCCAGCATAAAAGAGGTGGAGGGGAAGTGCGCGGGAGAGAGAGACAACGAGAGACAGCGAGAAAGAGTTAGAGAGAGAGCGAGAGAGAAAGAAAGAGAGAGAGCGAGAGAGAGAGAGAGAGAGAGAGAGAGAGAGAGAGAGAGAGAGAGAGAGAGAGAGAGAGAGAGAGAGAGAGAGAGAGAGGAAAAGAGAAACAGACAGAAGAGAGTGGGGAGACTGTGCATGGCGGCGAGAGACGATCACGGCAACCGCAGTACCTACCGATACGCGACGCACTCCCGAGTAAGGCAACCGTGTATAATCCAACAGCCAACAGCCTGTGCACTTCCTCCTGAGAGGCCCCCCTGACCTGAACGTTAGGCTGCCTATCCCCCCCCTCGCTCCCAAAACATATCAGCGGCAGGCATGATCAACTCGCCTTCGTCGCATACGTCAGCTGCTTCTTGGCGAGCGATCCAGCCTCTGCCCACCCGGCGTTCGCCGCCTTGGCCGCCGTTCGGGCGGCCGCCACAGCGGCCAGCGCACCCGCCGCGTCCCCCGCCACCGTCGCCGGGGCCTTCGCCGAGACGGAGCCTATTGCCACCGCGCTCGTGGAGAACGCGGCTCCCATCCCAAGCCCTCCCCTCGCGACCAGCCCTTGGTTGCCCAGAACGCCGAGTTGGAGCTGCAGCAGTACAGCAGGGCACCACAGGGGGAGTAGACCGATGTACATGTAAACAACGAGGGTTTTTCTCGCACAGAGAGAGATTTTTTGGTGTGTTCTACGGCGCCTTGTTTGACTCGTTCCAAGACCCCATCTGTCGGTGGCCCCGCCGCTGGGTGCCGCTGATTTTCGATTGTTGTTGTTGATGGCCCACCCTTTGAAGACTCACTGCCGTAATCTGGTCGCTGTTCTCGCTGCCGGCGGGGACGCTCACGCCGACGGCTTCCGGGGCTCGCGCCAAGAGGGAAACGTCGTCCACCGTGCTCGCCGACCGCTTGGCGACGCTGGCCGCCGCAGCCGCCACCGAGGGTCGTCTGTGCTCGCGATCGAGGAATTTCTCCAGGCCCCTCTCCGCTCTTTTCATCGCCGCAGCCTGCACCGCGAAAACAGCGACACAGCCGGACGCCGATTGGTTGGTGGAAGCGAAGGGAGCGGACGCGAAACCGCAGGGACGTTCGGCGGTCATGGTGCAGTTCTCCTTGTATGTGTGTGGCTTAGGGGAAGTGGGTGGGGAAAGAGGCGACTGGGTGACGTGGGCGTTGGCGCACATTCACGATTTAGTTCCCACTTTCCTTTGTGATAGCGACGCGACATTGGGGCGTCGGGAACGCGACTTTGTTGACAGTCGCTGGGTACTCACGTGGGGCAAGGCCCAACACACGCAGATCAACAGACTCCAAGAGGCCCTCTCCGCAACTCGGGACCACTTAGAGTTTCGAGCGGGCTCGCAAAGAACCCGCTTTCTAGGACACCCTCTTCCATCCCCGCCACCCCCCCCCCCACCGCATACCCCCGAAACAACAAACTTGCCCCTTCGGCGTTTCCCCGCCCAGCGAGCGACCACGCTAGCCCCTCAAGCATGGCACCGTTCATCTTTTGCGTCGGGTGAGCCCCCAAGTCTCCCGCCTTGCACCCGGCCGCGATGAGGTTCGCCGCTTTCTCTGCGGCGGTTCGCGTGGCTTGCTCGTCTTGCGCCGTGCTACTCCGGCGCCGACCCGCGGCTTCTGGCGCCGTCAGCGAGACGCTTCCGGCGCGCTCCCCGGGAGTCGTTACCACGGCGGTGGCGGCAGCGGCATCAGGAGAAGTTTTGTTGTCCTCTCTTCCCGTGGTTGTCTCTCTCACCTCTCCGCTGAACCTTTGGGCCGCCTCCGCGAGCAAGCAGAGCCCGCGGGAGTTGGCCACTTCCATGGCGAGCGCGGTCCACTTCGACCGCTTCGCCTTGTCGACCCTGGAGGCTTCGGCAGCTTTTTTCGGAGAAGACCGGCGAGAGGACAGGACAAGACCGACAAGGGCAATCGCGCGCGCGCGAGCGGAACTACAGAGGTGTGTGCAAGGTAAGGTGTCTTGTATTTGTACTGTTTGTTGTTCCTGCAAGGAGACAGCCCTGTTGTTGTAGTGGAAGGTGATCGAGATGCTTGTTGGGTGTCATTGATTGGGCATTGCTTTCGAGAGCAAAACAGCAGGGCTACATGAACGTGTAAAGGAATGGCCTCGTGAACTCTGCAGCGGTGCCGCTTGTCCGTGGCACCATCAACCTCAACCCAAACAGCCCCAAAGAAAGGCACCGTATTCGGAATCTAATTCATCCCCCACCCACCCCCCTACAACTGTTCAGTATTCGCTCTTGCACCAAACACCGCTCTTGCACCGATACTTGATGTCGAGCACCACTGCAGTCAATCGACCGAAAAGCAATCGTGCATGACAAATATTCTGGCAGGCCGGTGCGAAGGGGCTCACCCGAAAAGGACTCCATGGCCGCAGCAACAACAACGGCCGCCTCCTCTAGAAAAGCGTTGGCGGCACGAAACTGTCCGTTCTGCCGCCTAGCCTCCCCGGCGTGAAACAGGCAGCGAGCCAGGGCCAGCGGCGGCGCGGGTGGTCTCCCGCCACCACCATCGTCCTCGTCCTCGTCATACTCGTCATCGTCGTCTTCGTCATCGCTGCCGCCGCCACCGCCGCCGCCACCTCCGGCCACCTCGCCCCTTCGTACGGTCTCGAGCGCCCGCTCGAAAAGCTCCGAAGCTTGCTCCGGTTTGCCGCTCCGGAGGGCACTATAAGGTCACTTGCCGTATGTGTTCGTTTCGTTGGTTTCGTTTCATATTCATAACAAGAACACAGAAGAACAACGACGTGCGTTGTTTGATGGGTTTAGAACTATATCATGATGCGGTGCGCACGCTCTTAAAGAACACTTCTCCCTTGACGCAGCTACAGCAAGTGTCTGCTCAGGGGTCCCTCGTGTGCTGTGTACACGTGAAATTGCCCCCCAAGACGATAGACGCACCGCAGAGTTACCCCAGAACAGCGACGGGACAACATACTCTCCTTATCGTTGATTTGTTCGGTATGTGCGCCTGTGGCTTGCTATTGTTTCGTCTTGTGAAGAGGACTACCGCACTGTAGCGCCTATCACTCCCCCATGTACGGCGGTGGTGCCATCTCTCCGATCCCCACCAAATCTCGGGCCATTTACGGTATATCATCAGCACCGAGATTTTCGGGTCTGGCGCATGGATGACGCCGTATTACCTTATGCCGAAATTGGTTTCCATGCCCAAAGCAAAAGCGGGTGCTAACGGGTGGACCTGGCGTTGTTCGGCAAGTTTCGCCGCGGCCTCGTGCTCGTTGCATGCTGCCAGGAAGTTCCCGGTCATTTGGTAGCTCATGGCCCTGGGGAGACAAAGTTGCAGATTGCATGTATGTATGTAAATACGGGATGAATGGATGTGTACGTGCGGAAAGCATTTCCGGGAAAAGGTTTTTCAATGGGGAGCGGTGGGGCTCGTGTATCGTGCAGGTAGACATTTCTACAGCTGTCCAGCAGAAGTTTCCTTTAGCCCTTCCCATTCTTCCCGTAAATGCAGGTGAGGCCCACGATTTTGCATTCCACGTCAGTCTCGGCATGACGCTGATGCCAGCACAAAGTTGATATGCGTGCTTCCGCCCACCTCTCCCATGTTTAGTGCGCGAAACAACTTTCGACGCCATACCATGAAAAGCTAAGATGAGTCAACTCTTTCTGACGGGGTGTGTACTCCTGGCGCCTTTGTGCTCCTCGTACTTTCGCTTCATGAGGGAAATCGACGCGAAACCAAGAAAATAGTATTGCTTCCGCTGAAACACCACCGGTCGACAGCGTGTGTAGAGTACATCACTCCGCGTTCGACCATATACCGCAGTGCCTCAACGCCGGAGTTCAAAACGTTTGCTACCTCCTCTGGGAAGTTGAGAGGAGCGCCTGTAGGTGTTGCAATCAACACTCACTCCAAGTTGAGTAAGAACACGTGGTCTCTGTTGCGTATGGGACAAAAGTTCCACCATGTCTGACTCGATCTATGTAGAATACAGGAACCTGGTAGATCGCTTGGTTTACAGTCAGCTTGGGCGGCCACAGCTCTGGAAAGCCGTTGTTCGGGGAGGTATGGTTGCGTCATAGGATGAGATCCGTTTCTGTGCTGCCCGGAAAATTACATTCAGATTACCATATAGCTTCACGAAAAGTGCCGAAAAATTTCTGCGCAACCCTCATCCCACACGCTCTGGTGACCGTGGTCGATATTGTGAGCTTAGGCTTACAGTCCAGACGGGTCTTTAGCCAAGTGAACGGCGTAAACTTTGTAAGTTTCCAGATAATCTACATATCTAGCAGTATCTGCTATTGTACCACCACCAAGTTCCGCAGGTGCCGTAGTCGCCCAACAACGGCTCTCCAAACCAATGGATGTACTCGATAGTACTCTAATAGCGTTGGTACCCGTAGTGCATACCTCCTGCGAAGTTGCGGTGGTGTTGCGCGCTTAAATATGCATTGAATGATAATTGTTCCTCGACTTCCTGGGCAGGCCAAGAAGGTCAGAACCTCTGTTGACTACTGTGGCGATATCCCCCCGCTCCCCCGGGGTGCGTTGCACTTGCAGCAACGACATCGACAACACCAGAGAAACTCCACAGTGTCTCCAGCCTATGCCATGAGACGCCTACGTACCGGATACCGTGCGCCAAAAGGACTGTCTCAGGCCCACCCTCCGCCTCGGCCCTGATGAAGGCGCGCCGAGAGCGGGTTGCGGCGGCCTTGCAGTCCCCGAGGTGGATCTCGCAGATGGCGCGGTTGGCCATTACGGATAACACCAAAGGGGCGTCGCCCGTGCCCTCTGCGATCTTTAGGGCAGTTTTCAAGTTCGCCGCAGCGGCAGAGAAGTCGCCGGCCTCGCCGCTACACGACGCCTTTAGGCACCATGCGCGGGCCTGGAGGCCGGGCTCGTCGTAGCCGGTCCATGCTTCGAGGGCGTGGTCGAGGTGTTCCTGAGTTGCGTTATGTTGTATTTGGTAGTGTCGGAAGACACGAGGGTGTGGGTTTAAATCGAAGCAGGTGCACGCAAGACCACCTTCCTTTGGCGAGGCCGTCTGTGTTCATCTGTGGATTGTACCAAGCCCATATGTACGACATGAGCAAGAAGTCACGAGAAGCCTGCTGGGACATACGTTTGGCACAAGCGATTTATGAATGGCAACCCCTCCGAGCCAGCTGCAGTCCGATACATTTTGTTCCCAACCTGGGCTTTGTTGAAGGAACCACGCGCGAGAAAAGCTGCCGCCCAGCTCTGGTGGAGGTGCGCGATCTCACGGCCGCTCTTTCCTCGTATCGCCGATTCCCAAGCCATCGCCGACAACTCACCATCATCGTCTTCCTCGAAGTCTTGGTGCTCTTGCATGACGCAACAACCTCTCTTCCTGCCTTGAGTTCAAACAAGCTCTTACCTCTGACCACGTTGATGGAAGAAGATACCTCTTCACGCACGTTTCCTGCCCATAGCACGAGGAATGTAGGCCACCAGCGCACCTCTCGAATTCGTGTCGTGCTGCTGTTGTCGGCAATAATAAAAAATAAGCAGCGGTTTCGTCCATAAAGCGGAGAGATCGATCGTATCCCCGTACCCCCCCCCCCCCCCACCAACCCCAATTTTTCCCCGATCTGCGTGTCGGAGCCTGTCTCCGGTGGCGCTAGCCCTCGGCTTTCCTGGTCTAGCTGTCCTCGCCACCCCACCCCGCGTCCTGCCTCTCTCTCCCCTCCCTCATCCCCACCACCCAAAGGTAAGCGACGCTTTCATTGCGAGAGCGTCCAGTCCGCAGACGTCGAGGGACGATTAGCCGCGTGCTTCGCTTGAGAGAAGCTCGGGCGGGTCGCGCTTGGAGCTGGTCCTGCTGTGTGGACAGAGTCGCGAACGCCCGAACACCCAACAGATTGTTGAAGTCGGCACTGAAAAGACGCAAGTCGTAGAATCAACGGATCTTGTCTAGACGACCACTAGCCTTGGGTGCGCGGTATGTTGCTGTTGTTGTTGTTGTTGTTTTCGTCCTGGTGCACCGTTGCACCGTTGCCTGTGCAGAACTTTGATTGGTTCCTGCAACAGCAGTTCTTTGTTGTTCACAGCAGCCTTCGTTGGTAGTTGGCAGAGAAGTAGCGCGAGAACCCGCCCGACCTGGTGTTGAAACAGGAGATGGAGGCGGTTGTCTTCAACTCCAACAGCAGTGGTCGCTGTGGACGGAACGGGTGGCGTGCGAACCCCTTCAACGAACAAGAGCTTTCGTTCCGCAGCAGCCCGTTTTATTTAGTGGAACACGGTTGGGCGTACATACACCAGCAGGTTCGTGGTTGAAAAACACCCTCCTTGGACCACGTACGCCACCAGGCGGGAGCCCCATGATACATATATGTAGCCACAGCCACACGGAAGATGACCCGATAACCCGCGCGATAGCTCCATGTGTTGAAAGATATAAAACATTCGAGGCGTGCCAAGTCCCGTGCTGCACTGCTCCCACCTGTACCGAGCACCAAGAGAGATACGTAGCGTGATCCAATAAGCCGCGAATTTTGGCAAGCACTCCCTGTTTCCCAAAAAATGCCTATTATCCCTCTACAGACTTCCAACAACTCCGAGAGGTGTGTCAGCAGTCCCAGTGCGGCAAAATGGAAAGTACAAGTTGTACTTTTGTAAGGAAACAAACCACTTACTTTCAGAACGGACTATTGAGGTATTGAGTAGAGTTTCCAACCATCCCAAACGCTGGAAGACACACCAACATGCACCGAATGGCGTGTCAAATCCCCCAGGCTTCCCTGCTACAGGTAGTTCCCTCGGGCACCTTCGCTCTCCAACGGTCCTATGATATATCCAATGTAAAACCCAAGCACGGGATCCGTTGGCGCCTATATTTTAGTTATTCTCCTCCCCCCCTCCCTCTTGCTCCCACGTTATTTTGTTCCACGGGTTTATTTTTGGGGGGGGTTCGGTGTGTTGTTCCATACCATATTCCGGACGCCAATATGTACCACCGTGATCGTCATACCCTTATAGGGTGAATGCCATCAGATGATGCGTGCACATCGGCTTACAGCGGTTGGTTGTATTACTCACGGCTCTTAGGGTAGCAGCAGCGGGGATGTCATACTTTGACCTCATTTCATCGGTACAACATCCATCTGCTATCTGCCACGTACCAAGGGCAGTTGCAGCAGCAGTGCAGTTTGCCCGGAAGATATCCGGCAAAGCAAGGGGTGCGAAAAAAACAAGCCGAACAATTTTTACTGCTGCCGCTGTCCCCCCCGAAGCGTTCACAGGAAAATCACAGGTACGCTGGTTCCCTAGACCGCTGTTTAGTGCGGTCGTTGTCGTTGTTGCCGAGCCGACATGGCGAGTTCAGACGAGAGACGTCTGCGGCAAGAGTGTCTGTTTGTCGCGTCCGGGCACCTCTATGCAATGCGCCGATCGACAGTCGAGCTGGAAGCGGGCGGCGAAGGACGTTAGGGCCGTCAAAGCAAACCTATCCTCTGTCTACTAATTGGTCAGCCACCGGCCCCGTAGTCATATGATCGGTGTAGTGTTGGGGAGAAAAATTAAAGCACGAGGCGAAAAGCAAGCAAGCTCCACCGTAAATAGCTTACTTCCGACATGGTAGAAGCGTAGGCCGTACATATTGGCCATACGCAACACGGCCATTCCGTGGCCAAGTGCTCGAAAGCCTATAATTTGACTGCCTTCTGCGTGCATGGACGGCGGCGTGCCCTGTTCGTATTTAGTTCTTGCTTGCCGCCCATTTTACAAAAAACCTCCGTGTTGCGAGCTCGATTCTCGCCGAAATTTTGCACTTAATTCTTAATTCCCCGCACCCCCCCGTTTTCTTTGCCTGTGCTTGTTTTTTCAGTCAACCATGGCCACCGAGGACAAGCTGAACGACTACGACTTCACCGGCACTGACGCCGGTGCGTCGCACACCATCCCCTCGGAAGCCGGCCAGATCCGCAAGGGTGGCTACATCGTCATCAAGGGACACCCCTGCAAGGTGCGTGAGGAGTAGGACGGTGTGTGGGGTGCTGCGACAGCCTGGAGAGAGAAGAGAGGACATGAAAATATATTGGTTGTTGCCTCATAGTCGTGCCATCTGAAACGCGCCCCAGAGAGACCGCCTTCGCGCGATTAGTAAGTTTATTGAGGAACTAAACAGGAAAGGGGGGGGGGGTGCAGACCCCTTTCCCTAACCGTAGCCCTTAACACAACTTCCCCGATTGTATGCTTTATCCAACATGTTTACTTGATACAAAAAAATGGCGAATGCTATACTGCCCAGAGAAGCAAGCAGATGCATCCAGGCCCCTCTCTTTCCGTTGTTGATTGTTGCCGTGTTTCCAACAACGCCCGTCTGTCTCTATGCACTCTCTGCATGGCCACAGCAGTGGGGGTCAGCAGCAAGAAGGGCGCGTAGCGCTGCGGATTGGTGTTTTGTGTTTGGGTGCTTGAGTTTTGTGTTTCCTGCGTGCTGAATCAGCAATAAACGGAGAAAAATTGTTGCATTTGATGCCGACACGCAGGCTTTGTATCTCTGTTGTCAGTCCCTTGTTACCAAGCCTTTCGATTGACGACCTTCCCTACTTGTGTTGGGATGAACAGAACGATAATGCCCGCGCAATGGTCTCGTGTCGTTGACCTTGCGACCGGCACGACAAGGGTTCGGAACGTCTGCATTATATAGATCCCAAGTATGTAGGATAACCTCACCTTTCATTGCTTCCGCTTGATGCCAAGAAGTGACCCAGATTGTCCGTTTTTTTTCACCTCGTGTCGCGTGTCGACCCTGTTATTCTTGGTCTTGGATCCCCACAACCGTAAGGTGGTTAACGTGTCCACCTCCAAGACCGGAAAGCACGGCCACGCCAAGGCTAACTTCACGGCCACCGACATCTTCACCGGCAAGAAGCTCGAGGACGTCATCCCCTCCACGCACACCACCTCCGTGCCCGTGGTCAGCCGCAACGAGTACCAGCTGCTCGACATCTCCGACGACGGGTTCTGCTCGCTCCTTACCGGTGAGAGGACGAAAATGATTCGTGTTTTTTTTTCTTGTGCATCGTTTTTGTTTTTGTTTCGTTCTGGTGATTTTCTCACCGCTGAGAAGTGGTTTGGTATTTCTATTGTGTTGGTCTTCCCGCACCAATGAAAAAAACAAAACAAAAAACTCTGTTTGTTCGTGCCTTTCTTTGTGTGTTTTTTGTGCGATGTTGATCCTTTTTCTTGCCGCCGTTTGGAGGCTTTTGGTGCTCTGCATTGCGTCCTCTTTCCTCTCTTATCTTACATCTAGCCTGTTTCTCAACGAGCTCGATGCGTCCAGCGAAGAGGACGCCCCCCCTGTCCAACTGGCGCTACATTTGCAAACCCAAACGCTCGTAAGGCCCAGGTGTACATGCATGAAACTGTTGTTGCTGCTTCCGCTGTTGTCTTGGTTGCCGACGTCGCGTTTTGCGTGACTCACATGCATTTGTTGTTCGTGAGAGTTGAATGGATCGTAGCTGCAGCTACTGCCCCGCCAAATACATGCAATTCGTGGCCTCCTTCACGGCGTGCAGCTGCTGTGTGCTGCGTGGTGTGCAGTTTTGGGGGTTCCGTCAAGTATTCATTGATATCGATACGATATCCAATATCCAATGCCATGTGTTTCTTTCTTCACCCCCCGTGTTTCAGAGGAGGGCGACACCAAGGACGACCTGCAGCTGCCCACCTACCCCGAGGGTTTCGGAAACGAGATCAAGGCCAAGTTCGATGAGGGAGCGACCCTGGTACGCAGCCATCCATAGATGTGTGTGTAGTGTAGCACTCAAGTGAGGCGACGATGCTCTGTGGTCTTTCACCTTTATGGGTGTGAGCGGGTGTGCTCCCGCTGCTATGGACCATGCGTGTTGGGTGTGGGGGGCTTGAATTGAAACCAACGACGTTCTTCCGTCTTGGCATGCGGGGGGATTCAATTTTCTTTTTTTACGGGCATCTCGTCTCGGGCTTCTTCTGTCATGGGTGTCTCGTCATTTTTCGAGGAAAGATGGCGCACTCTCTGCTCGCGTCACGATGGCGACGGGCGCAGGTTGCCTTGAGACATTATCATATTTCATTCTGTTCCGAACATGTTAAGGTTCGTCTTGTGCGTTCTCCCACCAAAGCTTTGGTTGCCCCGGAATTCAAAGCATTCACTGGAAATGAAACACGCCGTGATGTTTGCAGTTGAATGACGTGCGTACATCCGCCTGCCCTCTTTGTCTTCTCTCTCTTGTGTGCGTGCTTGCAGTGCGTGACCGTGATGGCCGCCATGGGCCACGAGCAGATTGTCACCTATAAGGAGGAGTCCGGCTAAGACGTGGCTCGACTTGACTTGACGCGGTGTAACAGCTCACGAGAGAGAGAGGGAGAGGAGGAATAAGAAAGAGACTCAACCCGGCTTTTTCGTCAACACAGGAAGGAGGACACGTTTTTAACTGGTACATTTGCTGTTGCGGCTGCGCCAGTGCCGATCGCAGAAAGAAAGAAAAGAGGGGAAAAAAAGGTTAATTAGAGGAAGATGTGGTGAAAGACGGAGGACAAAAAAAAACGGACAGGCGGGCGGCTGGACGCCACACCTCTTCGAGGCTTCGCGGCGATTTGTCCTCCCCACGTGGGCGCCACCAGCGCGGTTTGTTGCTGCTGTTCCCGCGAAAAATCTGGCCTAAACCGAAGGAGGTGGGGGGGAAGCCGTTTTGCTGACTTGTGCTGGCCTTTGCTTTTGTTTTTTTTGTTATTTACGCAGCATATGTCGGTCGGCTGGGTGGGTGTCGGAGGTGGTGTTGGTGTTTTGTGGCGTGTTACGGGGGTGATATGATATGGGGGTTGTGGCGGGGACCCACGGTGCGAC